TACACTATCACCTAGTGTAAATAAACATTCTTTTTATTATCCTTTTTTCTTTTGGGAGCAACACCCAAAAAAGAGGGTCTTCTTTTTATAGTTCAAAACGGTAGAAAAAGACTTGAATGGGTGACTTGGTTCCTTGGTAATAGAGTAAAGAATACGTTCACTTAGCGGGAAATTACCAGCTATGTCCATTTATAGATAGCTTATTACAAAAATTGGCCAATTGATAAAATATTACTAATATTAGCCAATTAGCTATTTGTAGCAAAAAAAATATCAAATTTTTGCTTTGTTTTGAGTGGGTGTTATTAGAATAGATTGGGCACAACTTAAGGAGCTTGAATATCAGTTTTGGGATGATTTGGTGAAGTTTTGAGGTGGTTTGAATTGAAAATTCGATAAAAACTGAACATGAAAAAAATGATGTGTGTATCACACTGTGTATCATTTGTGTATCACAATGTATCATATTTGTGTCTATTGTGTATCACATGTATATCCATGTATACCTGTGTGTGAGATACATGCGTGATACATGTTTGATACATGTGTCGCAGAGGACTTTTTTGAACTCGATTTAGTTACGAATTTTGATACAAAACCAGTCCAAATCACCTCCAATCTTCCTCAAATTTTGTATATTGGCTTATCTATATATTTTCAATGAATTTCAACTATACCTATTGAAAAAGTTCCTTTTTTGTTTAGATTTTTGGAATATTGAATATATTTTTTGTAGTTGATCACCTTATTTGCTACCTCATCCATAAAATTTCCTTTCCGTCTATCTAGTGTTGCTGATCACGCTTAAAAATATGGAAGGTGATTTTTGCATGTGATTCTTTGAGAGAAAGAACCCTATTATTTGGTTTTTCAATTTTTATTGGCTAGTTTTGGTAAGTCTATGATTAATGGCTAGAGGTTAGTAAGTTGAGATTTATTTGGGACATTTGTGTAAGTTTCCCATGTTTCTATAGCAAAGAATACGCAAGGACTTGGAATATAGGCCCAACTAAAGTTTACCTGGCAAGACTTGCTCATTAACTTGAGGATGAAAACATCTTGTAAACTTGGAATTGATTGATATGAAGGCATTAGTCTTTCCCTAATTTCTCCGCTTTGATTGTCTTTTTCCTTTTTAATAGCAGTGGTGTTCTGAATAACTAGTGTGGAACTCGACTATTTTATTGGATATCTACTATCATTTACCAGTAAAAATCGAATAACTCAACTACCACAGTTAGGGGTGTTCATAAAAACCCGAAAAACCGAACCAAACCAAACCGACCAAAAAAATCGATACTTTTTGGTTTGGTTTTGGTTTTGAATTTTAAAAAACTGATCAAATTTGGTTTGGTTTTGGTTTTAATCAGGAAAAAAAACCCAAAAAAATCGAACCAAACCGACTATAGGAGTAGCTATTTCAAATTTATTATTACACCTATATATATGTATATTTTTATACGAAGTTTCAAAAATTCAATGGTAAATGTTAATAGTTTGCACTTTTAGTATAGTTCTTTACCTTTACATTCTAGTTTGATTGGTAGTTTTCTTTTGTTAAGTGTAAGAATCCATTTCGTGTTAAAAATAATATATTTTTAACTAAGTCCTTAAATTATTCATCACTATTTGATTCAATTATCATCAATATATCTTGGTAATAACAGATTTCTCAAAGGACAATTGATTTGATAGTGTTACGTTGAAAATGTGATCGCCGGAATATGTGTTTGGTAGTGTATGTCTTATATTTAAGAAAAAATCAACAAAAAACCAAAAAAACCGAAAATCCGACAAAACCCGACATAAACCGAATCGAGAAACAAACGTCTTAATTGTTGATTTGGTTCTAATATTTGAAAAGCCGACTTACTTGGTTTGGTTTCTTTTAAGAGAAATACCGATCCAAACCGAACCATAAACATCCCTAACCACAATTAAGGCAGATTGAAAAAATCAGAGTAAACTTTTTCATCCATTTCATTGATAAATAGCCACTTATTGACCGTTAAATAAACCACACTCAATCCTCGTGGCACAGATAAATCTCACTAGACTCAATAACCTATGAATAATTTGTGTTTCAATAAAATAAATAGAGATCATTGGGTGTGTTTGGTACGAAGGAAAACATTTTCCGGAAAATATTTTCCAATTTTCCCATGTTTGGTTGGCTTAAATAGTTTGGAAAACATTTTCCTTATCAACTCATTTTCCTTCAATTGGAGGGGAAAACATTTTTCAAAACTACTTCTCAACCTTCCCACCCTATCCCCCAACTCACCCCCACACCCCCCCCCCCCACCCACCAAACCCCACCCACCTCTCTCCTCCAAAAAGGATTTTTTTTTTAAATTTCAATTTTTTTTTCCGTCACCACCCACCCTGCTATCCCTGCCAAACCCCACTCTCACTCCCCTCCCCCCCCCCCCCCACAAAGAAAAGTTTTTTTTACTTGTTTTTGTAATTTTCAAATTTCTGTTTTTTACGTTTTTCTGCACCCCTCCCCCTCCCCCCACCCCCGCAAAAAAATTTTTTTACTTCTTTTTTTATTTTTAAATTTCTATTTTTTATTTTCTGCACATACCCCCCCTGCCCCTCTCCCCGCCGCACAAAGAAAATTTTTTTTTACTTGTTTTTGTAATTTTCAAATTTCTGTTTTTTACGTTTTTCTGCACCCCCTCCCCCGCGCAAAAAAAAAAAAAAAGTTTTTACTTCTTTTTTTAATTTCAAATTTCTATTTTTTATTTTCTGCGCACATACTCCCCCCCCCCCCCCCTCCGCAAAAAATATTTTTTTTTACTTTTTTTTTATTTCAAAATTTTAATTTTTTATTTTTCTGCACATACCCCACCCCACCCCCGGGAATTTTTTTTTTTTAATATAATATTTCAATTTAATTTGTTCATCTGTCGGTTTACAGGTTCGAAATTTTACCAAGTTCCAAAGTTATGAGTTTAGAGGTTTATGTGTTTGAAAGTTTACGGGTTTAGAATTATAAAATTTACGGGTTCGAAAGTTCGCGATTTTACGTAAAAAAGTAAAGCAACACATTAGTTGCTTTGGGTTGTGTCAATTTTTAGAGACTTGGAGAAGGGGTGGGCGAGGGGGAGGGGTGGGGGGGAGGGGGAGAGGTGAGGAGAGTTGCATAAAAAATATTTTCCTAAAAGAATATTTTCTACTCTCTAACCAAACAATAGAAAATATTTTCCGGAAAATGTTTTCCACTCACCAACCAAACAAGGAAAAATAAGTGATAAAACCATTCATTTTCCATGAAAACATTTTCTAGGAAAACATTTTCCATGGAAAATATTTTCCTTCATACCAAACACACCCATTATTTGCAGTATCATCCATTAAATTTTTATTTTTTTCTCCCTCGTTGAGAATCACAAAAAAAAAAAGGTTTAATAGTCCAAAATAGTAGCAGAAAATTTTTATTATGGTAGATAAGTTATTTAAAGTTAGAAGAGGTTTGAAAAAGCAATGTCTCTTTTTATTGATGAAGACGTACAAAGTACACGTTAAATAATTCTAAATATCATCTCTCTTCAAGCCTCACAAAAGTTGAGAAGAAAATTGATCATACTTCTCTAGCTTTCTTTATGTTACATCAACATTGTTTTTGAGCTTAGGGTTTAGCTTTCTAACGTAGAGGATGGGACAATAGCAAAGTGGTTAGGCTATTTTTCACGCCAAACTAAATAATCCATTAAGATACAAGGGGAACACAAGAGAACAACTTCTTATAACAAAAGTTATGTTGCTCAAAGGAAGATAATTAACCAGGCTAACAACCAATGATTATCTCAATGATATCAAACATGATGCTTGAGAGAGGAGGGTTTCCTGTCATAAAATAATCGAACCAAAAATGTATGTGTATCAATCAACACAGAGAGACATCTGTTAAAATTGTCACCACATTACAAGAAACTCTGCATGTCAAGCTCCACAAAGGAGCATGGATCTGGGATATCAAATTCCTTGAGGACCTGAAACCAAATAGCCAAAACATAAAACTCCTGATCGGGAATGACAATTTGCACTTGAAAACAGCCCATGCATGCCATAAGGTCTAAATTCAATGCAAAACCGGGAACCTTTGCCTGTTATTTTTAATTGTTCGAAAGACATGCTCTATTATGAATCAGTACACAATTCTTTTGGAACCATCTAAAAGTGTCTTAATCTGCTACTCCATTTGTTAAAAGTATAGACAAGTAGTGGTTCAAACTGCAAAAGGTGAAAAATATCCAAAACTAAGCAGTTCATGACACTGGTAAGTTTTCTTTTTCAGGTTAACAGGGGTGGCCTCCATCCTTGTCAACTGTATAAAGTTATACTGTCTAGAGATGAAAATATTAGGCGAATTTAAGGCTGTTATGGCATGCTCAGAATTCTTTTTCCTGAATTTAGTGTCAGCTTTGACTCTCCAAAGACAAATATTTGAGATGGTCACTGTAATGATCTGTAATACCAAGGCAACAGTACATCTTAAATTTTAAGAGTGAGTGAGAAGTGGCTGAACCAAGCACCCAAATGAATATAAGCAGAAACCAATTGCCTATAGCCCAAGAAGAGTAGTAGGTATTCTGTCTTAACAAATCCCACATTTTAAGGAGGCTTACCTGTAGATATTCTTTAAGTGACCTGATAATAAAAAATTCTTTGCGTTGACGGCGTATATAACTTAAACACTAATAGAAATACCTTAGGGTGCACAATTCCGAATGTTCCAATTCGATTTCCTTTGTAAACAATTTTAGCTTGTCTTCCCTGAAGAAATGCAGGCTCCTATGACACAATAAGACAGAAATAAGCACAGACAGCAATACTCATAATGAAATGAAAGAGAGAGAATTGGAAAAATGCAAACAGTACCTCTGATCTTTCTATGTAGTAGCCTTCACAGTCCCCAGGTGATACAAAAGAAGTTCCAGTTGCTTCCATGATTCTGTCGACTAGACCATGTATTAGCTGGAAAAAATGTCACCAGTCAAGCCTTTGAGTGTCTAGAAGCTAGTGCACAACCTACAGGACTATTATAATTATACATATGACTCCGATAACAGAATGAAGCAATCAAACCATTGCTTGGAAGACAGAACTTCTTATATTTAAGGAAGTTCCACTCAAGATATTTTTAGAGTAGAACTTCACCTATAAGCAAAATGGCGAAATATATTTTATTCAAGAACCTTCCAAATTTGGTCCTGGCTAAGAAGTTTAGAATTTGCAGAAATCATCACAACACAACTGATGTCGAAGTAGGATTACAAAATATTCTCTCCCACCTAAGCTAATGATGGACTTTTCCAGAACTCTCTGTGCATACAAGTAGTTCTTTACTTGCAATGATCCATGACAAAGAAGATACTCCCTCAAATCCAATATAGCAACCTATTCTAACTAGCACAAGATTTAAGAGCAAAATGTTTGAATTGATTATTATATTAACTTTGGTAAATAAGTGTTTAAACAATCGTTCCTAATGTAAAAGTGGAGAACTCAACTGAAAGATGTCACATCCAATTTGAAATAATATGTAGGGAGAAAATTTTGCCCTTTAAAGAGAGGCCAATTAGGGAAGATCATAAAAGGAAGTAGGTCAATCTAATTGCAACAGAGGGAGCAAATGGAAATGGGTCACTCTGAGAGGAAGACGAAAAGAGAATCTGCAGGGACTGGATGGCAAAGGTGAATTCATAATTAGGTCCAGCTCTCCATTATGAAATAACATTCGCGACTGAGGCAAGAGAACTATTTTCATATGCCCGCCAGCCTTTCCATTTAAATTTTCACTGGCAACCAAATCTCCCTGAAAAAAAAGAGTATAGACCTAAAACTGAGCTTCCTTTACAAGTAATATATTCACCCAAAACAATTCATATTTAAACAACTGGAGCTTGTAATGTGCAACAGATGCTACATAAAGTCTCTATGCATTTCAAATAGCACGTTCACATCCACAGCGATCGCCAAGAAGATTTTGCAGAACAGATAAACTACCGATATACAACAACAATAACGAACCCAGTGTATTTCCAGACAAATGTGGTACATCTGTACCTCAAATCCTGAGTTAGCGCCGCAATACAGAGCAGCAAGGTGGCGACGGTTTACTGCACCAACATCCTTTGTGCCATCTAACAGGACTACGTCACCAACTTCAAAAATCTGAACCAAAATGAGATAAAAACATTGGAATCTATCATGCAGAAGCCACTCTCAAAAGAAATGGCAAAGGAGATATGCATGACAGTAACAAGATGGACACACAACTTATTACTTGGAGATAGCAAAGGAGAACTAACTAACAAGTGTTACTTTTAATTAAGCAGAAAATCCCTTCACTGGTTGTTATATAAAACATCTCGCACATAATTAAACTTCTATACTACTTCCTTCTCGAAAAGATTCAACCGGATAACTCACAAGGATAGCCAGAAAATATTCAATTCTATTAGACGACTTGGTGCATACTACTATTTACTTGAAACTTCATTAATTGCAATCCTGAGCATACTTCACACGTTGAAGCAATAATGCCAGTGGCCGGGTAATGGCGGGAAACCATGCAGAAGTTAGTTATATTCATTTACCTTCATAGGCTTTGGATGGTCCTTGTTATGTCCAACGGTTCTCAATAATCCAGGCATGAGATTAGTCCGCACAACCTGCAAAGCAAGAGCTGTTTCAGTTACCAGCATTTGGTACATAATTATGCAAATATAGAAGAAACCTGCGACTTTGTACAATTGTTTTTAAAAAGTGTGTAGCTTGCATTGAACTAAATCTAAATCAAGAACAACAGAATAATTACACAAAGCAGAATCTCCTTTAAGTAGTAAACAATCTTTTTCACTAGACTGGACCAAGGGGATAAAACAAAATGACTTTCTCCTCATCTACGTTAACTACCTCCGCAGCGTCCTCTCTCCCTTTGCTAGGGAAGAGACATGTTTAAGTTTGAATTCAAAATATCTAATTTTGACATGCAACAATTTCCTAAAAGAAGCAAAGAGCATAAATGAAAGATTTCAAATACAAACTTCTTATTTTGGGTTTCATGAAAACCTTATCATGATTCTTTCTTCTACATGACATGCCACTTAGAAATTGCACATATCTGCATGTGCATCGTGTTTCATGTGGCAGTAGGTGATGAAAAAGTGCCACCTGGGCTTGAAGCCATTTGAGGCAACAGCATTCTGTGGATCAGTAGGATATTCAATAGATTGACATTCTACTTGGTGTTCTTTGGCCTGTAATGAGAACATCTAGGATCTGGCAAATTAGGATTAACCTAGAAAAGCTTAAAGGGCCATTTTATACAGTAAGAAGAGTATGGTTGCACTGTCGGAAAAATTTATCTGGCTTATCAGCTTAATTGTCGGCATATATAAGAACATGCATAAGCTGTATTTTCAGGTTGAAAGAAATCATAGGCATATTGTACTGGATGGACAAAATTTGTTTTTGGATGGCAGACAGATGATATACGCAAATCAAGCAAATTGATGCATAGATTTCAGATTGAAGGACGGCAATAAAGAATTATTGTGTAAGCTAGACATCAGAAAGGAGAATCCGTTCTTATCCATCCTAGTTATGGGCAGTGTTCAAAAAAGCGCTCGCTTTCTCGCTTTAAGCGAGAAGCGAAGCGAAGCGTAGGGTCAAGCGCTTCCAGTAACAAAAGCGACGCAGGTGTTCAAAAGCGATCGCTACTACCCTAAAAGCGTGAAGCGGGCGAAGCGACAGAAGCGGAAGAAGCGGTCGCTTCTTGAAATAAAAGCCCAACCGTGTCTTTTTTAATTAAAAGACCCAAAATACAGTTCTGTTTTTGTCATACAGTTCTGTTTTTGTCGTTCATCAGCAGCAACGTGAACTAGGGTTTTGAAGCAGCCCTTTCTTCCTCAAAAAACCAACAAGTCTTTCTTCTTCTTCTTCAACATGACAACAAACTAGGGTTTTTCTTCTTCTTCTTCAACATTACAAGTCAACAACAGATTTCAAGTTTCAACAGGTATGTTTTTATTTTCATTCATTCTTCTTCTTCTTCTAATCTTCTTCTTCTTTTTCTTTTTCTTTTTCTTTCTAAACGTCCAAAAAGCGCCGAAATGCTGGCGAATTTTTTCCAGAAAATTTGCCCAGATTTTCTGCCCCGTTTCTGCCCAAAATCTGCCCAGAATTCTGCCCAAATTTCTGCCAAATTATATATTTTTTATTCTTAGTTCTTATTGCCTTTCTTATGTGTTATGTAGTTGATATTTTAATAGCGCCAAAAGAAGATAGGAAAGACCCGGCTTGGGCTTACTCGGCAAGAGCTAGCCAGACCAACAAGATGGCCATTACATGTCTTTTTTGTGATAAGATTACAAATGGAGGAATCTATCGTCAAAAAGCGCATCTAATCGGTGGTGATCCAAATGTCGCATCTTGTCCTAAAGTTCCGGTCATGTGAAGGAAGAATTGAAAGCATACCTTCAAAAAAAGAAAGAGTTAAAGACTCGAATGATTCATGAACAAGGACTTTATAATCTTGATGACGATGATGAAACAGAAGAAGGTGATGATGCTTCGTCGCTTCCACCAAAATCACAAAAGCGGGGAAGGATGCTTCCACCAATGTCTTCTAGTTGTGGATCTACTGGCAAGACCAAAGGTCCTATGGATTGTTACTTCCCGCAAAAATCTGGAGATAAGGGAGGAAAAAGTGGTAATCCTCAAGTTGATGCAAAAGCGATTTTGAGGGACCGTGCAGTAACCTTTTTTGCCCGATGGATGTATGATGCAGGTCTTCCTTTTAATTGTGTTAATTATACTGACACTTTTGCTGCTTTTATTGAGGCCGTAGGCCAACATGGCCCAGGAATGAAGCCTCCAACTTATTATGAAGTTAGTGGGCCATATCTACAAAAAGAGGTGGCAGAGGTGAACAAAATCGTTGAGGAGCACAAAGTAGAATGGGACAAGTTTGGTTGTTCTATTATGATGGATAAGTGGACTGCGAAAAATGGAAAAATGATCATCAATATCTTGGTGAATTCTCCTAGGGGAAGCCTGTTTCTGGAGTCCGTTGATGCAAGCGACTCTTCGACTGATTCAACCAAAATGTACTCCTTGTTCAAGAGTAGACTCTATTGGAGCAGAAAATGTTGTTCAAGTTGTCACGGATAACGCCAGTGAAAATGGTAAAGCTGGTGATTTGATGTCTGCTGCGTACCCGCATATCTATTGGACTCCGTGTGCAGCACATTCTGTTAATTTGATCTTTGGTGATATTTTCAAGGAAAGACCCTTCAGTACTGTCTTTAATCAGGCAGTTAGGGTGCATTCCTATATTGTTCAAAGGCCTTCACTAAACAAAGAAGCTTGGTGAAACCTGCAAAGACAAGATTTGCTACAGCTTTCTTGACTTTGGCTAGGATGTATGAGCAAAAAGGCAATTTGAAGAAGTTGTTTGTTTCAGATGAGTACACTAGCAGTGCCTATGGAAGGGAAGCTCGAGGGAGAGAATCTGCAGATATTATACTTTCTACTTTATTCTGGAACAATGTGGTTCATGCATTGAAGATTGGTGGTCCTTTAGTTAAAGTGCTTCGTTTGGTGGATGGGGAGCAAAGGCCACCAATGGGCTACTTGTACGAAGCAATTGATAGGGCAAAGGAGGCTATTCAAGACTCTTTTAGAGACCAAAGAAAATACAAAAGAGTCTTTGAGATCATAGATAAAAGGTGGGATAGTAAGCTTCATAGCCCTTTGCATGCAGCTGGACTTGTTTTGAACCCGGAACTGTTTTATGCCAATGAAGAGAGGATTCTAGGAGATGAACCTTTGTGGAGTGGGTACTATGAATGCATTGAGAAGTTGATACCTGAAGAATCCGTGCAAGATAAAACCACAGAGCAATTTAGTATTTATAGGAATGCTGAAAACCTTTTTGGAAAAAACATGGCCATTAGACAAAGAACGACAAAGTCACCAGGTGAGTGAGTGCTTATATGCTGTTTTATAGTTAATAAGTTATTTCTTTATTAATATTATGTTTTGAAAAAATTTTCTACTTCTACAGTTGAATGGTGGAAGCAATTTGGTCATTCCACTCCAGATTTACAAAAGTTTGCGATCAAGGTTCTAAGTCTAACATGTAGCTCATCCGGGTGTGAAAGGAATTGGAGCGTGTTTGCATGTAAAAACTAATAAGAAAGATTTAGTATATTGAGATAATTAAATTATATCTCAATTGTCCAAATCTTACTAATTACTTATTATTTGCAGATTCATACCAAAAAGAGGAACAAACTAACCTTGAAGCGTCTCAATGATCTAGTCTTCATTAAGTACAATAGAACATTGAGGCGCCGTTACAACGCTCGCAATGTAATTGATCCAATTAGTTTGAACAACATCGATGATGCTAATGAATGGCTAACTGGAGTCCCGGAAGATCATGCAGATGAAGAAGTATTTGATGATACTTCTGGTATCACTTGGGGTGATGCTGCGGAGGCGCGTGGAATTGGGGAGAGGATTTATGGTTTGAGGTTGAGGGCGAGTACCTCAACTTCAAGTTCACAGAGCAACGGAAAAGAGGCAGCTACTTCTTCTGTAATTGATGAAGAAGATGAAGTTGAAGAAGATGACGAGCAATATAATAATGATAGTGGAATACAAGAATTTGACAATCTTGTAGAAGAATAGGATGCTCATTTCGTGCTTTAATTGATGCTACTCTTGACAATCTTGTAGAAGAATATGATGCTTATTTTGTGCTTTAATTGATGCTACTCTTTAGTTTTTTAATTCAAGTATTGAACATTTGCTCACAATTACATGTGTTGTCTATGCCGTATTTATTTTAATTTTTTTTTAAAAAAACTCCGCTTCACTTCAAAAAAGCGGGCACTTCGCTTCTCGCTTTCCTCGCTTCACGCTATTTTTAACACTGGTTATGGGTGCTAAGCAAAAAGTTGATGGAAGTTGTGGAAAATTATTGGCTAAGAGGTTTTCCAGTTCGGACTAATCTGGCTATCCTATAATACACTTCTACACATGCATTCAGTGGATTCCATCAATTTTTGGTAAGGCAGGAGAACACTTCAGATTCAGAGAGGTCCTACAAGCAATGCACATTAATCTTGGCAAAGATCTGTCTCTATGGGTTAATGATATTTAGAGCTCCCAAGAATGTCAGGTTATGGCATTGGATCTACTCCCTCCTCCCAACATACCTTGGACTTTGTATGAGATTAAGTCACAAGTCAAGACATCAAGGGGTAATGTTGGGACTTCAAATTCATGAGATACGGATACTGGATGGGAAGCGGAAAAACATCTATCATCAAGACTATACCGTACACCCTCATCAGGTGATCAAGGAAGGAGAGAAAAGCATGAAAAGTACACAGTCAACTCTACAACATCCTCTACAAGAACATGGGAGTAAGGCTCAGTGGTTCATGATGTTAAAATGAGATTGAAATATAGACAGTGATGTCCTTTTGCTTTGTTGACTCTTCGAGGTAAAATCACTCAAGAGCCTCACTCTCCCTATCCCTTACTCATTTTTGAAAGCCTTCCATGGAGTGCAATTTGAAATACAAAGGGTTCACTAAAATCACTCATGTTTGTTGTCCCGTGTTTTTTTCTCTCTTTTTTAACAGGGGAAGCCACGTGTGTGGCAATGCTCATGCAAGACCATCTCCAAGAAAGAGGGAAAATGCAGTGCTATAGATGCCGGATAGGTCCCAGAAACTATGAACATTGAGAGTTGACGTGGGAGCTGTGGAACATGTTTCTTTCATTTTTGGGATAGTACAGAAGACGCTGAAAAAAAATAGCCAATGCCTCGTTAGTTGGGGAGGATGCCCAGTCCCAAAGGTAGTTAGGATGTTTCAACTTCCCAGGCACAACCCTTTTAAGCATTATGTGACAAATATGGGAAGGAAGGAATAATACATACGAGGGAGTGGCACATCTGATGCATAGTTTGAAGTATAATTGTCTTACAACTTTATCCAAGACAACAAACACCAACAACATACCCAGTATATTCCCACGGTGTGGGGTCTGGGGAGAGTAATGTGTACACCTTACCCCTACCTTGTGGGGGTAGAGAGGCTTACGACTTTATTCAAGGCTACAAAAGGATAATTCCCTTACAACTTTATATCTTTTAAGCGGTCAGTTCATGTAAATGGCACGTGATTATAGTGGATCTTTTGAGATCACTAGACCTGTAAACTTATAAAAAGCTTTTGTAGTGCTAATGTGGGCCTTTTGAGGGGAAAAGCAGAGTATACGTGCAATGCAGCACCAAGAGCTTCCAATAAATCAGCGAACCGTAGCTGCTGATATTTGGAACATGTTTATCACAGTTTTGGTAAGATGGGTCATGCCTAACAGTCTCAAGGATGCCTACATCAGTTGGATCTCTTGGAAAGTTGATAAATCCATCAAACAAGTCTGGAAAGTGATTCCTGCTGGTATTTTTGATGTGTTTGGAATGAGAGGAATAGAAGATGTTTTGATGGAATATCAACTCCAAACCACGACCTTAAGGCTAGTTGTCTTTAAGATTTATGTAGCTGGGAAAGTTTGTCCCCTTTATACTATCATGCCAAACTTTTGGACTTTTTTAGCTCTTTATCCTTAGCATAGGCCTCAATCCTCATTGTAACAGAGCTAACAAACTCTCACTTTTGTACTTCCGTTATTATGCATCTACTTAATGCCATTTATAATACTGCTTCATAAAAAAACAAAAAAATTACGCGAAAGCTAAATCACAATTTGGAGGGAGGGAAGGCTATCTTAGCCCACCAAGACACCGCATAGAACAACTGACATAAACTTGTGTGTTTTAATCAGCCTCTTTCCAATAAATCTTGTGTTTATCCCACTGCACATGCACAAGATTCGAAATAAAATACTCTTTTTAAATCAAGAAGAATATCCTAAGTGAAAATGCTAAATCTTCTTCTTCCTAATTTAACTGATTAAACCAAGCCATAAGGGGTTTCTGGCAGGGGGCCATAGAGCCGATTGACAACTTAAACTCTTTTCGGGACAGAGCAGACTCACCTCAAATTCAGATGTACGCGAATCAGCAATGATTACAGCAGACTTATCCTCTTCACTGTTCAACATAGAAGAAATTTCTTTCTTGGAACACAAGATCCATGTTAGGACCTCCGTATAACCAGCCATTGCAATCTAAAATTGAAAAGACATTAAGTTAGATGAAAAGCAAGTTATCATCAATAACTTGTGAATCAAGGATGCAATCGAATACATACACACAGGACAACTTCATGAGGCAAAAAAAAAAACTAGTGTTTTTTAGAGAAATTATGTGACTGGCACAGAACACTTAAGTAAGAAGCTGCATTTAAAGAACTATTCATATAGTTTAATCAGATAACACCAACAAGGATTTTTTTGAGGAAGGTAACATATCCAATATATTAATCAAATCATCAGCACAGAGTTTGTACTGGAAACCAAAATTTATATCTTGAAATGCTTAAACAAAAAGCATAACACCAATAACATTATCTACAACATCATACCATGAAGAAATGTAAATGAAAGGACTGCAATTAATTGAAGAACAAATTGCGAAAAGAACAAATGAAGAGGGAAGTACCTGATCAAAAGAAAATAAACGAAGAAGGCAGCACAGGAAGGGGCAATAATCCAGCTAGAATAGAAAAAACATTGGAACTAAAATTGAGACTTTGAAACTCCCTCCCCACCCCTTCCCGGCTAGAACTTGATAAAGGGAAAGTTTGTTTAACGAACTCTAAAAGTCCCAAAAATATATTACCACATTCAAGTAAGAGGCAATATCAAGAGAAGAAATAATTTTATGAAATATCACATGTAACAGAGACTATACAGAAACACAATAGAATGATGCTACCTTCTGCAAAATTAATAAATATCCATGACAGCTTGAAGTCTGTGTCTACAATATGAACTCTCAAACACAGAGGTGTATAAACACATTACCTCCGACCGAATTAGATCACTAAATTGACTGAGAGGTAAAGGCTTCAATGATGCAGGTCTTCTCTTCGGGATCTCATTGTAACCATAAGCAATTGCAACATCCTTTTGAAAAGAATACAGAGGTTGAAGCCATATAAGAACGACAGCAAAGCAATGGTGGGATAGTAACTCTAAGCAGTAATGCATCAAAGCAAATACCTCTGCTACATCACAAGGATGAAGGACATCACTTCTTGTGGGAGGTACCGATACGACAAACTTGACTTCTGCATTTTCTGAGACAGATTCCACTGCACGCAATTGCATTTTATGCAACAAATTAGCCACCTGAAATGTTGTTTGGCTGTTTAGAGTCTAACGAAAAAATTCAATCTTCTATTTCATACCCATAGGATAATCTATATCTATATCATTATAAAAGTGGGAAGCTCTTAACTAAAAAGTTGAAATACTTAAATACCCTTTTAAATAACCTAAATACCCAACTTATACCAAGAATTAAAATAAAACATCAAATTTTAAATAAGACACTAAATTTATTTAAAAAGATATTATCCTTCATATTAGTGAAGCTGGCTACTCTTTACAACCTTGAAGTCTAACGGCGAACATTTAATTTTTGTGCAGGCATATCAATTAAAATACAAAATAAGAAAATAACAGAAAGCCTAAAATGAGAGGTTACTCTAATTTAGAATAAAATAGTCCATGATTTTGGTTCATATCTCTTTTTGATATGGAACCTTCTTGCAAGGTAGGATTTCATTGACTTTTTTCTCCTTTTTATATTCCTCGAAGAAAATGGAGAAACTTTATAATCTGTCATTATTTGTTTAATGATAGCAATACTAGCAAAGTAATATAATATAACGTGTCTGTCATGCAGTTTGCATGTTAGTAACAGCGAAACCACTTATTGGACAAGAATGAAGCAAGATAATAGAGATAATAGTTACAAATGAAAGGTAAGTTAAAATCAAACAAATTTTAATAAAAAATTATCATTGACCCACTAGGATAAGTTAATGAAATTTATGCAATTTGTAATCTTAAAATATCGATGTAATCAATATAAATGTTACTTTATCATGGGGAATTTTGCCGAAAAGGTGGTGAACTTCTAAAAAAAAGAAAGATGTTAAACCGGCCAATGTCAAACATGCAAAAATTATACCGGGTCAATCTGCTACCAAGCATACTTTTATCCTAAAAATTCAAAGGTCTACATCTCTCACCACCCCTTCCCACCCCCCAAAAAAAATGAAGGATATCGTTTAAATTCATTAAAAAATAATTTATTGTACGTTTATATTTTGCAATGATGACAAATAAATATATGGTCAAACAATTTCTAACTTATCTAGCACAATATGTTTTCTCACATGGCTAATTTTACGTTGCACTTTCAAAAGGATATCAATGTCAACAAAGAGTCTGGGTCATGATAGAGCAATCAAAATAGAGGAAATGAACATATGCCAAGTATATCGTCTATAAAAAATTATTAGTTAAGATACGCTTCACTACAGTTTGTACCTCATAAAATAAAAATAAGTAAAAAGTCATATTTATCTATTTAAACTTTGATTGTCTCATCTTCGTATGTTTTTTAGATTATATCCAATCATCTTGACATCAACAAACAAGTCACCATACGATGATCTACATTTACTTTGCAGAAATTTATGTGACGGCACTATCTTTGGTAATTAATTTATATAGGAATGTAAGAATTATATTTGTAAATGTTTACTCATTTTAATCTCATACTTTTCAGATGTAGTTTGTATTTTAGTAACAGTAAAACCATATATTGTAAAAGAACAAAGTAAAATAAAAGAGATAATAATTACAAATAAAAGATTAAGTGATTAGAACATAAGTTCATGCAAGTGTTCATTTTGTGTCCTATATAGATGAAATATAATGTAATTTATGCAACTTGTAAAATATAGGTATGCTTGTTGGTTTCTTGGTAGGTTTAGACAATTCCATTATTTTGTCCTCGACAAACAAATAACCATTCCAATTTGATCATTCACATATATACTTTATTCTTTCATGTATAATATATACTTTTTTTTATAAGGTAAATTGTATTAATCAAAAGGGAGAAAACTACCATATACAAGAAGTATACCAAAAAGTATAGAATTTATATCAGAACATGATTCTCTACAAATGACGGCCAATCTTCTATACAAATAGGGGCTATATGAGTGCACCAAAAGCGATCAAAGATAAAATACTATTCTTAAGATGTGAAAAAGGAGACTCAATCCCCTCAAAGCTCTCCTATTTCTCTCCCCCCAAACTATTCACATGAGAGCTAACGGGGCGAACTTCCACGCCTTTTGCCTTCTTCTTCTACGGAAACCGGCCCAGCTATATAACATTTCATTTACAGTGCTTGGCATCACCCAATGAACACCAAAAAGATTCAGGATTGCCCTCCACAAACCCGAGGACACAAGGCATTGCAACTAAAGATGATCAACTTCTTCCCCTGAGCTTTTACGCATGTAGCACCAACTAACAAGTGTAATTCCTCTCTTTCGCATATTTTCAGCAGTCAAGATCACTCTCCCCGCCGCTAGCCATGCAAAAAAGCACACCTTTGTGGGCGCCTTAGGAATCCAGATCGAGGAGTATGGAAAAGTAACCTCATCTCTCACTAACATACTCTAGTAAAAGGACTTTACGGTGAACAAACCATCGCCACGCAACCCCCATCTCCAAGAATCACAAGATGGCTGGGGCCTGTCTTGCCCATATAGTAGTGCCAACAAATCTTGGAGCTCCGCAATCTCCCAATCTTGCATGTTCCTTCTAAATGAGAGGTCCCCTACTACCCCCTTCTGCTCCTTGCGAATCTGTTGAATCATCATTTCCTCCTGGTTTGGAACTCTGAAGACGTGGGGAAAGAGACCCTCAGAGTATCCTCTCCACACCACCTATGATTTCAAAAGCCGATTCTCCTTCCATCTCCCACCCTGTAAGTGATGTTGCCATTGAAGGCTTCCCAATTCTTCATGATGCTCCTCCACATGCCACACCCGAAAGGTGCTGTGATCGCCTTGGTCCTCCAACCCCCTCCCCCGTGGAATCGTACTTTTCTACTATGACCTCCCTCCATAGAGCATGCTCTTCTACCCCGAATCTCCATAGCCACTTCCCCAACAAAGCTCTGTTGAATACCCTAAGATGTTTTACTCAAGTTTCATCTGCCAACTCACTAGATGAAACTTTCTAGTTCCATCCGCCGCATCCCAAAGAAAATTCCTTTGGATCCGCTCCAATTTTTCTGTGATGCTCACAGGAGCTTGCAACAGGGACAAGTAATAGGTGGGCATACTCGATAAGGTGCTTTTAATAAACACTTATCGCCTTTTGACAAGTACCGTTTCTGCCAGCCTGTGAATCTTTTTTCAACTCTTTCGATCACTGGATTCCAAACCGTAGTATCCTTATGTGAAGCGCCCAATGGGAGACCCAGGTAAGTAGTGGGAAGAGAGCTCACCTTACATTTGAGAACATAAGACAAAGCATCGATGTTAGCAACCTCACCCACCGGGAAAACCTCACTTGTCGAGGTTGATTTTGAGTCCTGATACTATCTGAAACCACTGCAGGACCTGCTTCAGGTAGGTCAACTGACCCATATCGGCATCACAGAAAACCCGAGTGTCATCTGCAAAAAGCAAATGAGAGACTCTTCGGGCACTGGGCGCCCCAATTGGAGCTGAGAATCCTCTTAAGAAGCCTCCGACAGCCGCACGATCCATCATTTTACTCAAAGCATCCATCACTAGAATGAATAGCATGGGGGATAGGGGTCACCTTGCCTGAGACCCCTGGAACTGCCAAAGAAACCACACGGGCTACCATTAACCAGGACAGAGAATCTGACTGAGGAAGTGTAGAACTTGATCCATCCCCTCCATCTTACCCCAAACCCCATCCGCATCATAATGAAATCCAGGAACTCCTAATTGACATGGTTGAAAGCCTTCTCAAGGTCCAACTTGCATAGTAAGCCGGGTTCTCTATTTTTCCTTCTGGAGTCTACAAGTTCATTTGCCACCAATGCAGCGTCTAGAATTTGCCTACCTTCCACAAACGAATTCTGGGAGGACGAAACAGACACGTCAAGAACCTTCTTGAGTGTATTGGATAGCACTTTAGAAATAATCTTGTAAATGCTCCCCACGAGTCTCTAATACAAGATGCACCTTCTTTCTTAGGCACAATGGTAATAAAAGAAGCATTGATACTTCTCTCGAAAACACCATTCACGTGGAAGTATTCAATGGCTTCCATCAACTCCCCCTTAATGTTGTCCCAACAGAGCTGGAAGAAGGCCAAGGAGAAACCATCAGGCCCAGGGGCCTTATCACCAGCACAACTCGACACAGCCTCGTGCACCTCCTCCTCCTCGAAAGCCCTCTCTAGCCACCCACTGTCTCCCTCCCCTATGTAGTTGAACTCTATTTCACCCAAAGTAGGCCTCCAACTAACTTCCTTTTTGTATAAGTTCTCATAAAACCCATCTATCGCCCCTTTTACCTCCTCCCTTCCCTCAATCCTCACCCCATCCACAACTAAAGGACTCTATGAAGTTTCTCCTTCGATTTGCAACCGCAACCGCAACCCTATGGAAAAACTTGGTATTCGAATCCCCCTCCTTTAACCAGAGCGCCTTCGATTTTTGCCGCCAACTAGTCTCCTGAGCTATTGCTAACTCGACTATTTCCCTCTTAACCTCCCCCGGTCTCGCTTTCTCAGATCCATCTAACTCCCTCGCCCCTTCCCCTCTCTCTAATTCCCCCAATTCATGCATAAGCTCCCTCATTTTAACCTCTACCCTCCCAAAAACCTCCTTATTCCACCTAATAATATCTCGCTTGAGCAATTTAAGTTTCTTCGAAAGACGGAATGAAGGTCCCTGATACCCCGTAGCTTGTCCACCATTCTTTCACTTTGTCACCAAATCCGAGCACTTCCAACCACATGTTCTCGAATCGGAAAGGAGCACGCACCCCCTCCCTCTGCATCCATCTAGCAAGATAGGCAAATGATCCGAAGCCAGCCTAGATAAAGGAATCTACAGCACATTCGGCACCAGCTCATCACAGGAGGACGATATCAGAAATCTATCAAGTCTAGACCTTGAGTTGGAATCCTTCGCCCTGGCCCAAGTAAACCTTTCCCCTGACAGAGGAAGGTCAATGAGAAAGTGATCATTGATGCAGTCAGAAAACTCCTCCATGGCCCTCGAAATCAGGCTACACCCTAATCTCTCCTTCGGGAATCTAATAGTGTTAAAGTCACCCCCTAGAACCCATGGAATGTCCCATTCCCCCATAACATTTGGCCAGTTCCTCCCAGAAAGACACCTTAGACCCTTCTCCTACCGGTCCATACACTCCCTCAAATCCCCACTCCACCCCACTCACTCTATCTTTGACAAGAGCTGCTAAAGAAAATACTACCTTCTTAGTCTCCTTTACCTCCAAGCTTCTATCATCCCACATAAGAAGGATGCCCCCGGCACTTCCCGCTGCTCGGAGCCAGTCATATTTTACCCAACTACTACCTCCCCAGACACTCCTCATAATCGCATCCGACAAAACTTCCATTTTGGTCTCCTGAAAACAAACTAGGTTGGCACCCCACTCTCTAACTCCCACTTTGATGATGGCCCTTTTGTTTGGGTCATTATCCCCCTCACATTCCATGAAAGAATCTTAACTTCCATAAGTAACAATATCCCCCTTTTCCCCACCTTCCCTAGCCGAGCTCCCTTCCTCCCTGTCACACACCCGGCCCCTTCTGGTACACCACTACATCCCCTAAATTATTTTGCTTAAAAAGACTGTTGCTCAATCTCCCTCAACAGTTCTAACACCCTATCTTCCTTCCCTTCAAAAGAAACACCTAAATACTTCCCGAAGTTTAATAGTTTATCCTCCATCCAGAAGGACATATCCCTCCTCCAATCCGTGACAAAATTGGACAGGCGTCTTCTATATGTACATTTTCCTTGCTCCAACCGAAGGAATATAAGACCATAGCATTGCTAGCAACAGGAACTTTAGGTGCCGGAAGGATCTCACCATTTCCTGGAGAGGCACTAACCTCTGAGATTAACACCCCGCTGCTATAGGAATGTCCAGAAACGCCAGCAGTGCAGCGGGAAGGAAGAGAGCATGGAACCCTTGGCGGCATATTAACTGGAATTGCTGGTCCGGCACTAACATCAATTGGGGCATGCGCAACAATCTCCCAGAAGGAGCTTGAAGTGTAGCCTCAGCACAACTAAGCATAGGAGAAGAAGAGGGGGCGATGGAGATGGGTCCATCCGAGGCGGGAGGTCGTGGAATAACACCACCAGCTTTAGCCGGTGCTGCCCCTGAAGCAACGGCCATCGAAGAGGGGCGTAGGACACTAGAGCTCGGAGAAGAAATATCATTGTGTGATGAAGGAGCGATAGTTCCCATACGCTTAGGAGCCTTATCAGACGCAGCTTGAAATAATTTGGGCCCACGTGTGGAGGCCTGGGCATATACTTGCTGAAAACTTGCCCGGCCTATGATAATTAAAAAAGGACCGGCCCATACTGCCTTTCCAGCCCGCATCACTAACCCAGGGGCATTCACGTCTTTTCTTCCTGATAAAATTTTGTCTTCTTCTCCAAAATTCAAACCCCCCGTCTCTTCTTTTCATTTCTTCTCTTCTTTTAGAAACTAAAATGCTACGTTTTGCATCTTTTCAGGTTGATGAATTTTTCTCCTGAGTCTAGCTTTAATGGCATTCTTACGCCTTTCGAAAACAGTGAAGTTTTTGTAGCTATCAGTAGGGATTTGAGAGTAACTCGGATAGTTTCCGAGTTGTTTTTGGCATCATCTTCCGGTATCATAAAGTTTTGGAGCCCATATAAACTTTTGGAGTGCTCCTACCTTGACACCAAACATGAATCCAACCATTACTCTCCACCCTAATCCTCCCCCCCTAACCTATACAACTACCAAAATATTTCAGGCAGCATTTAGATTTGTTTATTCCGAACTTTGGGGAGGACAAGCTCATAGATTGATGACTCCAATGTTCACATGTACATTGACTAGTAAAAAAAGGTAAATCCATATATTCTGGTTATTATCTGACTCAATTTTTAGAAGACAATCAAATTGTAGAAATCTCAATTCCATTAAGGACGAGCAAGAAAATGTTTAAATATTAGCAAGAGGAGTTGAACTCGTGTCAACTTATACGCAGTTCCTCCTGTCGCGAGCTTGTTGTAGTCGATCCTAAGGGGAGAACGCCTCAACCCAAAACTAGTTGGATTGGCTATATGAATCCCCTATATCCATCCTTCTATTTGGACCTATTTCACCCCAATACTAAACAATTTGATTGTTAAAGCATATTAGTGGTTCTCCAAAACTATATATTCTTTAAATCAAACACTGATGCCAAGCAAAATTTGTCTGTGAATGAATCAACTTCAAATCAGTTTCATCCAAATGTACATATAGTTATTCACAATTCCCTTCTAAATAAGCCAAGCTACAAAAATTTTCAAAAAATCACATCTAGTGGCAGCTAATAGAAAGATGTCCTAGTACAATGAGTGGTACCTTAACTTCCATCAATCTGATGGAAGGGAGTAGACACTCGGTGCTTCAAGACAAACATGGAAGTACTCAAAAAAAATCAATTATCATTGTATATGATGCATTTTAGGGATGTCCTATTTTCCTATAAGGCATAAGTTAAACTATAGACCAAGAGCTAAGTATAGCAAGAGCATGCTAATGAAATGGCATTGGAGGTATAATCAGGAAGGAGTTGGTCTCTGGAAAGAGGTTGTTCAAGCTAAGTATGGCTGTCAAAATCACTGGTGTACCAATACTGTTAGATCTAACTATGGATGTGGGCTATGGAAGGGTATCAGGAAGCTGTGGGATGTCTTCACTGTTGATTCAACCCTTCAGATGGGAAATGGGGAACATATCTCATTCTGGAAAGATAAGTGGTTAGGACATACTACACTGATGGATGCTTATCCAAGACTATTTTCTATTGCTACTAACCCAAACTCTACAGTTGTGCAGAATTGGGAGGTTAACTCATGGAACCCAAGCTTAAGAAGAAATCTGAATGACTGGGAGTTTGATGACTTGGTGGCACTTATTGGCAGCCTTCACAATAGTTCAACCATTACTCCAGGTAGGGACAAACTCAGATGGGGCAGCAGTAGGAGTGGTGCATACTCGGTCAGAGCTAGTTATCAAACCTTAAGCTCCAGGAAGGAAATGATTCATCAGTGGCCCTGGAAACTAATTTGGAGGACAAAAATGCCTCCAAAGGTCAGTGCTTTTTGCTGGATAACTCTAAATGGAGCATGCCTAACCCATGACAATCTCATCCGAAGGGGTTTTCAGCTTGCTAGCAGATGCTACATGTGCCAAAGCAACTCTGAAACAATCAACCATTTATTTCTTCACTGTCCAGTTGCAACAGACATATGGTCCATGTTTCTTTCACTTTTTGGTTTGCGTTGGACAATGCCATGCAGTGTCAAGGAAGTTTTTGTGAGTTGGAGTTCATGGAAAGTTGAGAAGTCCATCAAGAAAATCTGGTCTATGGTTCCTGCTGCTATATTTTGGTGCTTATCGACAGAAAGGAATCAAAGATGCTTTGATGGCATCTCAACTGCTAGATACCTACTCAAGGCTAGATGTTTGGTCACTCTTTTTAGTTGGGTTAAACTCTCCCCTATGTATAACTCTGACCAATTTATGGAATTTATCAGCTCTCTAGTCTTATGATAGATCTTTTGTTGCTCTCTTCTTAGGGGTTGATATAAGGGTGTTAAACGGGCCGGGTTGACCCGGTTCCGGACCGGCCCAAACCGGTAGAACCCGGAACCGGCCCGGACCGGTAAGAGGGGGCTGGGTTGGGTAGGGGGGTTGGGGGTTGGTCCGGTTTAGTTCTTTGAAACGGGTAACCGACCCGGTTGAACCCGGAAGAGTGAACAGTAACTCTTACCGGGTTAACCGGCCCGGTTTAAACGGCTACTTTTTTTTTGTTTTTTTTTTTTAAATTCGAATTCTGTGGGCAAGAAATTGAACAGGAAAAAAAGAAAGGGAAAAAATGGCAAGTAGCAGTACTTGTACATGTTCTTGTAGATCCATAATTACTGCAAAATCAAATGTTATTAATCGATTTGCAACACCAAGAGGATTACAATTGATTTTCCCTGGAAACCCTAGACTAAAGCAAATACCCAGAACTTTTGTGGTAAGAGCATCAGCAGTTGATAGTTCATCTAACTTTGTTGAACGCATGGAAAAAGCCTGGTTGATTTCCAAGGTATTTTTTTTTACCTATTTGTATTATGTGTTTTGTTTATCTGTTCATATTGTCAATTCAATTATGTGATCAGTCAACTATGTAAACAAGGGCATGGGCGAAGCTATATAGTCCTGAGGGTGGTTCGTCGAAAATTACACTATGTATATAGGTGAAATATTGCATTTTAGAGGTATATATTTAAAACCCTTGGTGAATTTACTTGTTGTTAAAAATGTAAACCTTTCGATTTGTAAGTTTGAATTATGAAATAAAAGTAGCAGTTGCAAATTGCAATAAGTGCAATTTTTTCCCATCATCCTTGTATTCTTTATGTTAGTACTTTGTATTAATATAACTTACAATATTTATAAAAAATTCCAAAAAAAAATTAAAAATACACTAAACCCGGCCCGGCCGACCCCCTCAGCCCGTAACCCTTACGGTTCAATTTTTACCCGGATGAACCCGAACCCGTTAAACCCGTTAAGAACCAACCCGGAACCGGCCCGGACCGTGACCCGTACGGGTCCAAAAAATAGAGGCCCGGCTCGGCCCACCCGTTAAACACCCATAGGTTGATATCTTCTTTTATTTTGTAATACGTGCATCCACTGGATGCTTTTGTTAATAATACACTACTTACTTCATCAAAAAAAAAAAGTTATACTATAGACCAATCAAAATCCCCAGTTACTGTTTCAAGCATAACGACATCGTCACACTAATGTCTATGCAACCATGTGGAGATGGTATAGTCACCATAGCACACAGGTTTCTGTCAGCTAAATTCTGAACATCTTATATATCGGAAATTGCAGAACATTTGTGACCAATATCATAATTGTCATGATTCTCATGAAGATAAGAAGATAAAATGACAGAAACTTGTGTATATGAGATAAGAAGAAAAAATGGAAGGCAAAACTCTATAATACCTCATTCTCTGGCAATTTAACTCCAATGATGCCAGTGATGTAGGACAAAGGCACATTCATATTGTAGATTGAGAGATCAGGATAAACAAACGATTTTCCATCAGGATATGTTACTTTAACTGGTTCAACTTCAAACTTCCGCTCACAGTACACTGAAAACATAGTTACCTGCGGATAATATTTAATTATTCAGACACCCAGCAAGCTGAAGGAGGAAAAGAAAAAGAGCCCCTCAGCTTCTTCTATTCCTACCATTGTGTTCAAAACAACATTGGCCTTCGTCAAATCTGTGGCTGTACATTCTATAAACACATTCTTTGTTTTCAATGTAATGGCCGAATGTGCGCCGTTGATAATGGGGGGCAAAGACAAAACAGTCCTGCAGAACACACACACACACACACAGAGAGAGAGAGAGAGATTAATGAGTTGCAGAAAGATAGTGGTTCCTTAGCATGCATTCAGGTATTGAGCACTTCTCATAACAGCTAAGCATCTCAAGTATTTCTTTCTTTGATAAGTAAACATATCGATTTTATGAGATTCCTAACAGCTATTAATAGCTGTCCCAGACAAAATAATCTGCCTAGGATATATCCAACTAAAAAATGAGTGCTGACAGGCTCCATAAAGTGTGCCTAATAATTCTCGAGTTTTATTGAACAGTTTGTCAATAGCTATCCCATTCAGAATGTGCAAGCAAAATAGAGTAGTACTCCCTCTGTTTCAATTTATGTGACACACTTTCCTTATTAATCCGTTCCAAAAAGAATGACACATTCCTAATAAAAAAAATTAACGAAGTAAGTGAAATATCATTAAAAGCATTCACAAGATGCAAAGATTACAAGAGAGAAGAATCTGACAGCTCAAATGGCACATTACTTTTACAGCCACACAAATTGAAGGTCCCACAAAAGCTTTCACCCTTTAAGCTTTTAAAACCACGAGTTTAAATAGTCTTCTTTTTTTCTTAACCTCCGTGCCGAGTCAAACTACGTCACATAAATTGAAACGGAGGGAGTACACCAGAAACTATATAACTATTGGAGTAAAGAAGTCTCAAGACCCACAAAGAAGTTAATTACTCTTACTATTTTCAAGCCATAAACTCTTATCATGAACTGTAAGCAAAGAGGTCAACTGGCATGCAGCTAAGTAAATAAATGCAGTAAGATAGCTCCAGACCAGAAGGCTCATTTGTAAACTGGATACCTTTTACAATCATATATAACAGGGTACACTGGTGAATTCTCGATTATGTGCAGAAACTTCTTCAACTTCAAATCCGACTGTAAATTCAGGGCAGCAATGTGTTAGAGATGTTGTTAAAAGCATAAAATTAACTTCAGTAAATCTTCAACATAACACCTAAACAAGAAACAATAATAATCAGACTAACAATAAAAGCTTAAGTTGCAACTCACTTTGTAAAATTCCATCAGCTCATCAGCTCTGAAGTTTCTGGTCTGAAAAAACAACCAATTTCAATATCAGCATTAACACCAACATAACCTAGGCCAACTGCCAAAATAAAACCATTTACCTGCTTTAATGGCACAAAATTAATTTCCGAAGGAGGCAAAGCCTGAAATTAGAGAGGCAAACGGTTTCAGTATCCAATCAGAAACTACTTAGGAAAAGAACGCAGTACACGAAATCAGATTTACAAGGAAAAATCAGGCTGTCACTCTATATTTAGAGCTAGTAATACATGGAAAACTTTGAATTAAGTATACCAACTGGCGTATACCTCATATGTGAAAGGTCCTTCAATTGTATCTAGGTCATGGGTACCAATTGCAACCAAGGTTCTTCGCCTAGGAAAAGCAAAATAGAGAATAAACAACAAGGACCTAAGCGTGAGCAGGAGAAAACATATGCAGGATTTTTATAGATATAAATGAGGTGATTCCCCACAATATAATTCAGGAATTATCCATAATAGTTTTGTATGGATACTGCTCAGGGAAAAAGTTCGATATTGACAACCCATACGGGTTGGCCAAAGTTCAAATTGACAACCCATAAGGGTGTGGCCTGGTAGTCAATGATGTTGATGATGATGATAATAATAATAATAATAATAATAATAATAATAATAATGATAATGATGATGATAATAATAATAATAATGATGATAATGATAATCATAATAATAATAATAATAAGAAGAAGAAGAAGAAAAAGCATCAGCAACACCACCACCACCACACAAGGGTGTGGCCTAGTGGTCAATGAAGTGGATTAAAACATGGGAGACCATGGTTCAATCCCAGCAAAGACAAAAAATACTAGCTGATTTCTTACTCATCTACCTATACTTTGTTTAGGTAGAGTTATCCGGTGCATGTGCTAGTGGAGATAGCCGGCACCGACGGAATAGTCAATGTGCGCGCAATTTGACCCAAACACCATCTTAATCAAAATAATAATACAGTATGTGATAGAGCTTCTAAATCCTATCTTTATTCATACCCAAATGGAGAAGGAATAAAAAGCAAAAGTCACGATTCATGGCACTTCTACTAAAGATCACGTCAGTATGAGAACTTGGAGGTTAGTAGGAAATACAGTATACCGGTTGAGATAAACAAATGAAGGGATAGTTAAGGTCAATGATCCTCTACATCTAATGGAAGTGAAACAAAAAATACAACCCCGCCCCCATCCCCATCCCCACCCCAAAAGAAGAAATGAAAAGGAAAGAAATAGAGAATAATTTCTGTTCTCTGGATGCCTCTTTAAGCAATTAAATAGAATCCAGCTACTTTTTACACTATTTGCACACATTCTCCTCAGCATGTAAACCATTGCATCCATCAATACACAAGTTTCCCCAAAATTCAAGAATTAAAAGATACTCCCTGCTTTCTATCTTTATATATTTTACAAATAGATCTGAAGATAAGTTTTACCAAAACTTGCAAAAATTTCGAATGTCACCTTACCCTTCGACCTTTAACAGACGCTAAGATTTGTGATACAATAACTTTCTACACTAAATACCAGACTATTTGCCTGCGACAGAGGCCTTTTTTTAAGTACGTCTTGTGCTATTATAACTGCTCTGATGCTAGTATAACTGTGAGCTCTTCCTTAGTTTACAGTTTAACCAACAACAGAAAAACTGTGAGCTCTTTCTTACTTCAACAAACAATAAAAGCTTCTAATTGTAGTGCGTTGATATAGCATAGAGAAGGCAGTATCAAAACGTACCCCTCTCTACCACCAAGAAGTTTTCATTAATGGGTACATCCTGAGTCATGTTGGCACGTAAAATTGGTCTCCAAAATGTTATAAAATAAATGGTGCATTGTTAGTACAAGAGAAGACACATGCTTTATGTATATCCCAGAAAAGGACCCATGCTCTCATCGAGGTGAAATATATTGTATTTCTTATCCCTCATAACCTCTAAAAGACCTTGAGAACATAACCCCATTTATTTTTTTGCGACAAATAAGTTAACGTGCATAATTAGAGTGACGCTTTCATATCATAATTTATCTATAAACTTCCAGTCTCATTTACTGAACAAGCTAAGGTTTCTAAATAATTTCTTTACGAGTAAAATTCCCTTTAAAGGGGGAAAAGAACTGAAGGTTATCCAACCCATGTACAGAAGCATCATACACGCATGGTACGTCAGGAAAACCAGTGCAAGTTATCTACTCACTGATTTCCTTATGAGAGCTAACGGCATAACTACAAATTTTAACGGTATTTTTACAGCCGAGAAATAAAAAGATAAAAAAGTAAAAGAATTAATTCCACCCCCAAGTAACCGACCACTACTTCAAGATGTCACCAAGAAAAATTTAACATCACGCAGGACTAACAGAAACCAAAGCAACTAAAAGAGGTAAATAGGAATTTCAGCTGAAAAGAATAGGTAAACAGGAATTTCAGTTGAAAAAGAAAAGGTAAATAGGAATTTCAAACTGCTCTTTATAGTTTAGTAATACCTGCAAATGTTCTGATGCAGCTTATCTTGTAGATCAATGAAGCTATTGTACCTAGCCTCGTCAAATGTTACACCTCTTAAGACAGCGCACACAACATATGGGCGAATCTTGGATGTCTAAACAGGAAAGGACAATTGTTAACGCAATAAGAAAATTCCTTATAATCATTTTAGTTTCTTTACCACACATTTAGTGGTCGCCAAAAACTAAACAAAAACATAACTTTATCAAGCCGTACCTCTTTTCCGACACGCATTTCAAGCATAGATTCTTTACCAACATTTGCCACCTTATATGTAGGGATCGGATCAAGCCCACCAAATATTCGGAGAGCTTGAGCTAGCCCTTCAAGACAAAGCAAATCATATCTGCAATACCAATTTGAATGAAAACATATTACACTGCCAGTGCCGAATTAACAGCACAGCTGTTATGCTTCAAATAACAAATAATTAAAATTTCTAACAATCCCACGCCACTAAACAGAATTAAGCTCAAAATGCTAGTAAGCCACCACAGAGAATCAGTTATACTTATTTCCAAATATTCAAAGCATAAACCAAAAACCCAAGATTTTCTAAAATTCATTCTGCAATCTAATTATGAAAAGCACAAAGGACCACCTGTTTGCTGGAACTTCAATTTTGTATATAATCTCTCCATCATCCTCAGTCGCCTCCTCCTCCAGATGCTTCTCTTTTCTTTGCATTGCTTTTTCTGTTGTCTACATTTTTTTTCACACATGCATAAACTCAGTAGGAAACTAACAACCAAGTATGATAATAAGCGGAATTTGGTGGTACTTACAGCCTCCTCGAGCTCAATACCGAACTTAAAGCACAATTCGTCGAATTCTTCATAGGCTGCAAAATTCACATAAAAAAACGAGGTCAATTAGATGCCGCAATTTTGATAGTGTGCGAAAGGGCAAAAGTGGGAGAGAGAGAAAGAGAAAACTCACTATAAGTACAGCCTAGGGCTTCGAACAGACGGTCTCTTCCAACGCTGACGGTTGGCATGGTGGCGAACAATGGCGGCGGCCGGAAATCAGAGAGCGATGGAAAGAAGGGAAGAGTATTGGGAGTGAAGACTTGGCGGCTCCTATTTTTTAAGCTAACTCCAAAACAAATTAGGAGTAGCAAATATTATTGGTTCTTTTTTTTATTTACTTATTAGGGCAAAACAAACATTAAGATAATTCAATGCAGTGTATGTTGGATGAGCCCTAAAATTGGAATTAGAAAATCGGATTTTTCGATTACCTAACGAGTGACAAGAATCAACGGCAGAATCGGAGAGATGATTGAGCTGGGAATTCCGGATTCGGTTCGACCCGATTCGCACCAGGAAGAAAGGAAGAAGACACTGTAGAATACAAAAAAACAAGGGGAGTATATTGTATTTTATTTGACCAATTATTTTACTCCTTGTTTTATTATTCCGTAAAAATTGCACGGGGCGTCCTATTTGGTCGCACTCATTTAACCTATGCCCATATTTTTAAAATTATTTAACCTATACCCTAATTTTAACAACTTTAGACGTCTCCTCTTCTTCCTCCTGACCTATGCGTTCGCCAATAGCAGCGCCTAACTTCAGACACAAATGTCTTAAATTTATACTTTAGTATCTGAAGTATATACCCCATATGTTTGACAATCTTAGCCAAATATCTGAAGTTCATAACCAAATGTATGAAGTGTATATCAAAATATCTGAAGTTTACATCAAATGACTGAAGTTCATAGAAAAATATCTAAAGTACATAATGGAACTGAAGTTTGCCCTTGCTTATGACCTGAAGTTCGCATGATTGCCTTTGCAAGTCAGGCCAAACTTCAGGCAAAAATATCTGAAGTTTTGCTTTGATAAGGTTACATTTCAGGCAAAAAATTCTGAAGTTCAAACTTCAGACATACACAATTGAACTGAAGTTTGACCTTGCTTATGAATTGAAGCTTGCGTGATTGCCTTTGCAAGTCAGGCCAAACTTCAGGCAAAAACATATGAAAATTTGCTACACTCCAGGCAAAACATTCTGAAGTTCAAACTTCAAACATAAATTTTTGCTACTCCAGGCCCGTATGTCTGAAGTTACGCGAAAAGTGGGTACGCTTGCATTTTTTTTTTTGCAAAGCAAATATAAGTTAAAAGGTGACCTAAAAAGCGGGTATAGATGCAAATGCCCCTATTATTCCCTTTGTTTGCCATAGTCGGTTGGCGCCACGCACCGCCGACGCGCTTGGGCCCAATAATAGGCGCCGTCATTAACATTTTAAATCCAAAAAATCACTATATTATATCAACTAGTTTTACAGTACGCATTGCGCGTGTACCCTGTATCAGTTAGAAGAAACTTTTTGAAAATAATATCAATAATATTCAAAAGATGTGATTGAATTATAAAATAAAATAATAAAAAAAATCCTAAAGTGATAAATATTGATCATATGTTTAGAACGTTGAATCTAATTCTAATGGTTCTTCGTCTAGTTTGCTCCTATTATTTAATTTTATCACATAAGTTCCTATTTTTCGTTCTTTTAGCTGTTCTTTTATTTTTTAAGTTTTTGTCATGACAATAAGATCTATATAAGAACTCACGGTGTTTAAATTCAACATAAAACTTCTTGTTGATAGTATTAGTTTCCTGACTTGTAGTGTCAATTACACAACTGAATAATCAGAAAATTGGGCAAGTTGAAGATAAATTCCTAATCAAAAGAAACTAATGACAATTAACAATTGTAAATATTGAATAGAAGAAATATGCCATTTGAAAAAGTGTTAATGATCGAAAAACTTATTTTGAGTGGAAGAGAGAGAATCTTTAAACGATGAAATAAAATTTAAGGAAGTAATCAAAATCTCAAAATAATGAAATGATATTCAATAAACAAGAAGAATTGTCAAGAATTATAAATAACAAAATTCTAATTTTGAAAGGACTTCTAATTTAGGCAAGATGACTTCCCAAATATTCTGCAAATACCTTTTTATACACACAAATAGCGGTAAGAGAAAGCGAATAAGGTCTTTCAAATTACTTAATATATAAAACAAGATAGGGAGTCATTTTTAAAAAATAGAATATTGAAAAAACCCCTAAACTTGATACGTTATTCAATGTAGATATAAATTTATGTTGCCTTAAATTAATTACCCTGTAGACTTGACTATTTGTTATTATTTAATTACCCGTTAATGTGACAAAGAACATAGACACACTTACTTATTTTGAGGCCTGTGAGAAAATGAAGAAACGAAAAATTAACTTTTAAATGAAGTATTTTTCAACTATTGATGGTCACATAGTCATATATGATGATTTATTTGTTATAATTATGTACTCATTTCTTCTTCCTTTATTTTAGTTTACAATGAACATTTTACTCCAACTTATCTTCGGTGAATATATTGTATAATTTTTTTATTTTTATAAAATATATTTATACACAATTTATGTACTTGAGCTTGTATTGTTACGGTACGCACTACGCAACATAGAATGCACTTCAATAGGAATCTGCAATTTAATTAGAGTTGTAACTAATATGTTGGGATTATTGAAAAATATTTTCTACGATTTGTACAAATAGTTACTATGTTTCATATATAGTGCCCTGAACATTATGTTTCTTCCCATTTTCTTGAACGTCCAGTTGGTTTCCAATTACTTAGAAAATGCAAAGCCCCTGCATTAAGATCAACTTTTGGTTATATATTTGTTTGCACAATTTGAATGTGTATGTTTATTTTGGTTTGAAATTAAATGGCAAATTAGTCATTCAATTGGAAAACGGAAAAGAACTATAGACATTCAATTGGACAGACAATTTTATAGTACGAATATGTATTATGTTTCTTGCCATTTTCTTGTTAGGAATAAACCCCGTAAAAATAGTATTCACGGTATTATTGATAAACGCGGAAACATTAAGTTATGGTTAAATCAACAAGAATAAAAAAATGCAGCAATAATGACACCAAGATTTTACGTGGAAACCCTTCTGAATAAGGGAAAAACCACTGCGAAGAGGAGCAACTAATATCACTATAGCGAGGAATTTTACACTGTGTAGTAACGAGTAAAAAATACTCCTAAGACCACTACACCCTCAAAAGGAATAAACACTCTTTTGCTTTTTCACCTCACTACGATATCTCTCACACTCTATTTTTCTTCACAAACTATTTTCTTATAGTTTATAGAATACCTTGCTCTCTCTCTTTTCTCACTTTGTTGGTGTGTCTTAAAATGAAGGTAGAGGCACCTATTTATAGTTGCAGAATACCTATGTTGATGTATGCAGTGACATCAACTCTACTGCAAAAGTCAGCCGCCCAAATCTTTTCTTAAATTGGCTGGCTTGACAAAAGGAGGAAAGAAGAAGCTTTTCCACATATGGGGCTGGACCCCACAAACTCCCCCTCCAGTCCCATTCACCTGAAGGAGGTAACACCAGAGGTTCTAGTTTGAATGTATGCTGGCAAGTTCTTTGCATAGCTCGAACTTGTCTCTTGGTACCACCTTGGTCAACATATCTGCAGGATTTTCACTCGTGTGAATCTTTTTGACTTGAAGTGATTCGTTCTCCACTTGCTCACGAATCCAATGATATCTGACGTCGATGTGTTTTGTTCTTGCATGTACATGGAGTTTTTGCTCAGGTCTATTGCACTCTGACTATCGCAATAGACACCATACTCCATCTGTCGCAATCTAAGTTCTTGAAGAAATCTCTTGAGCCATATTATCTCTTTGCCACCTTCAGTAGCCGCAATATACTCTGCTTCAGTTGTAGATAGTGCGACACACTTCTGCAACTTCGACTGCCATGATATAGCTCTCCCTGAAAAAGTAAACAAATATCCAGTAGTGGATTTTCTATTATCAAGGTCACCTGCCATATCAGAATTTGTATAGCCCTTCAAAATTGGATTTGATCCTCCAAAACATAAGCATTCATGTGAGCTTCCTCTTAGATACCTGAGTATCCATTTTACAGCTTCCCAATGCTCTTTTCCTGGATTTTCGAGAAATCTGCTAACAACACCGACTGCATGAGCAATATCTGGTCGATTGCATACCATTGCATACATCAAACTTCTAACGGCAGAGGAATAAGGAATCTTGGACATTCTCTCTTTTTCCTCCGTTGTTGTAGGACACATCTTCTTGCTCAACTTCAGATGACCAGGAAGGGGTGTGTGGACCAACTTAGCACTTTTCATATTGAAGCGCTCCAGTACACGTTCTATGTACTTCTCCTGTGACAAGTAAAGCTTCCTTTCATTTCTCGAACGAGTAATTCTCATGCCCAAAATCTGCTTAGCATGACCCAAGTCTTTCATTGCAAAAGACTTATTCAACTGTTTCTTCAACTCGTCAATCTTGGAAGCATTCCTGCCCACAATCAACATATCATCCACATATAGCAAGAGGATGATAAAGTCATCATCAGAAAATCTTTGTACAAACACACAATGATCTGAAGAAGTCTTCTTGTAGCCTTGCTCCCCCATAACAGACTCAAACTTCTTGTACCACTGTCTGGGAGCTTGTTTCAATCCATATAGACTCTTCTTAAGTTTGCATACAAGATTTTCTTTACCTTTTACCTTGAAGCCCTCAGGTTGTTCCATATAAATCTCCTCTTCTAAGTCACCGTGAAGAAAAGCAGTCTTCACATCCATCTGCTCAATCTCCAAATCAAGACTAGCAGTCAAACCAAGAACTGTACGAATGGAGGACATTTTCACAACAGGAGAAAATATTTCGTCAAAGTCAATACCTTTCCTTTGACCAAATCCCTTGACAACCAATCTAGCTTTGTATTTGGGCTTCAAACTATGTTCTTCAGCTTTAACTTTGAACACCCACTTGTTTTTCAAAGCTCTCATGCCCTTAGGCAATTTCACCAACTCATAAGTATGGTTCTCATGCAGAGATTTCATCTCATCTTGCATGGCTTCAATCCATTGATCCTCGTGCTCATCTTCTATGGCCTCCGCATAACATTCAGGTTCTCCCCCATCAGTGAGTAATACATACTCATTGGGTGAATAACGGGGGGAAGGAGTACGAGGTCTAGAAGACCTCCTGAGTGGAATATCTAACTCGTCCACAGCTTCGTGAGTAGAAGCATCTGCCTCATCAACATTAGCATTGTTATCACCATCACCATCAATATGCTGATCTGGAATATGGTTTTGGGCATCACCATCATCATTGAGCCCACCGACGTCATCCTCATTTGTATGAGGAACTTGATCAAGATTAACTAAACCTTCAGAACTTGGAGGTTTTAGCTTCTCCACTTTGTTAATATCTTCAATGGTTTGATCCTCCACGAAGATAACATCACGGT